AAATGAAAAAAATCAAGAAAAACATCCAAAACAAATAGCTTCTGATCTGTTACACAGTCCAAATAGAAACTAGGTTTTTAGCAGGATCCAGGAAGTGAGCTAGCCAGCCTTTACTTTTCAATAACTGTTAATAGCAGTTTTATCTTTTGAACAGCAAATGTCAGTGAGGAATGTCAAGAAGAAAATAGCCAGAACTGGGCCACTGAAAAACAAGAGGGATTTTCAACATATAAAGAAAGTTCCAAAGTTTATTGAAATTCAAATCTCATTAAACAAAAAACAGAGCAAAGACTCCAAAAAGACTATTCAGACACTGGGAGGATTATTTTAAAAAGGAGGAGAAGACATACAGTACAAAATTTAGTTGTAGCCCCTGTTGGTTTTACTGTTGAAGTCATATTTTCCCAACAATGTCCTCCAAAGTCTCATCTCCAATTAACGTGGAGGAAAGCTTGGATAAAGAGTTGAGGACATTAAACCCCTCCTCCATACCTACTTCCACCCTAGTGAGAAATCCTTTCCCAAATTAATCTGCTGAAAATTGGATTAATAGATTGGAGGTCTGTGAGGGTTCTTTGTTTTCCAAGGACTGGACACACCACAGCATAGCCAATCTGTACAAAATGCTTTATTGCAGCACTCACCTTCCCCAACAACAGACTACTGCTCTCCACCCATCTAGGACTTACAAGGTGATGTTGCCGTCTTTAATACTCAGTCTTTAATAGTTAGTTCAAGCAAAAGTCTGTAAGTCTGTAAAAGTGGCATGCAACCTTTGCCTTTTTCCAAAGGTTCTTACTCTAAATGGTGTGAAGTGTTGCTTCAGTCTGGCTGTTCTTCTTCTAGTTGTTACTGAGCTCCTGGCAGAGCTCCAAGATCCAGGTAGGACTCCCACCAGGATATGCTGCTCACCGTAACTTGTGGTCCTGGCAGTTGAGTGTTAGTCCTCTTGTCTGCTTGTAATAGCTGCCAATCTTCAGATGTTGCCTCTGCTTCCCCTGCACCTGCCACTTGCTTATCACCTTTCCTCTGACACACATACCTTTACTCTGTCTTGGCATTTGCTTTCTTAAGCTGAGAGCCTGGGTGGGGTGAGGCTGCCTCTGGACATCAGCAGGTCCTTGAAAACGCCAGGGTGCGGCTCAATCATCACAGGCAGCCGGAACGCCAGCTTGGATGTTTGTGAGTGAAGTTTGAGTTAGGGCAATGAGGAAAATGGGGTGAGAAGCGTTTCTGCCTGGCTGCAGCTACTTTTTCCAAGCACAGACAGCAACCCCAACTTCACTCCCTCACAAGGCCAAGCACGCTTCTGCAGCTTTTCACTTAGACACACTGTATCTGGTCACAGGAATGGTGACAACTGCTAAAGCAGGGTTCCTCAACCTCAGCAACTTTAAGATGGGTGGATTTCAACTCCCAGAATTCCCCAGCCATCTGGGGAACCCTGCGCCAAAGAAATGCAGCAAACTCTAACCCTTGGTTGCCATCTAGTGGTCGCTCATACCTTTGCAGCCCAGTGGTAGGCCTACTTTCACTTACCAGTCCAGGTGAACAGAAGGAGGCTATGTGTGAGGGTTTTACTTACAACTGAAGCTGCTGCTGGTGCAATCTGTACATCCTCTCCCTACGTGGAGACTACTGAAGTACTTCCAAATAAAGGGACTTCTTGGAAATCACCAAGGACTAGACTGCCATTTCCCCATATCTTCTCCACCTACTGTTCAAGCTAATACGATTTCCTGACCTCCTAGCAAGGCAGCAGATATGGGCTATTGTATTAATAAACTGTGGAGAGTGGATCATCTCTGTTCAATGGATCATCCCTCTGCTCTTTAGAACATAAGTGGATGCAACCCTTTTCCTGCATAATTTCTGCCTGCTCTGGTTCCTCTCGCTCTAAAGTCTGTGATCACTTGTTGCCTGTTCACTGAAGAATTTGGGAGCCTTTGCCTATAGTATCATGCAATGGGCGTATGGCAGAGACACTAATCAGTTGCTGATCAGTATGGAACAGAAGAGGAAGTGAAGCTGGGGAGACCCACTGGGTAACCATATTGTAACTTTAAAAATTAATTAAAATGTAAATTAGCTTAAATCGTGGTTGTGAATATGCATGCATGTATAGGCAGTGGCCCCAACTGCTTTGTTCTCTGATATCTTGCTGAGCTGGTTAATTAGCTACATAGTCCTATTACAATGATGGAACTGCTGTGGTAAACCATTATCATTCAACGCCAAGAGCTGCTTTAGATCAAACATATCCCAATATTGCCCAGTTTGGCTGGCAGTTGCTCTCCAGGGTCCCATATAGGCAGATCTTTCATATTCCCATTCCTGAACTAAGACTATGTCACCCAGCTACAGTTCCTCCTTGAAGGACCCCACGTTCCCCAGTCCTACTGCATACTAGGGATGGTTTAAAAAATAGCTTTGCAGGGAGTGTGCCGATTTCTCAGCAGCAAGAGACTGCTTTGGAAGATGAAGGGACTAAGAACTTCAAACCCAGTGAAAGCTTCCTTGGTTACAAAAAACCATGTTATTGCAAATCATCACTGCTCAAAGGGTGAGTCAGATTCCATTGAAGTTATTATCTATCCCCTCTTCTTGACCTGCCTTCTAGGCATATTTATCTCCATGGGAAAGCAGTCTTCTCAGGGAAGATATCATACTTAATAGATCCAATTCTTTTCCATGAATACCTTATGTACTCTCCAGGCCTACATAGAGATGTTGTGTTATTTGAGTAGAAGGGCTGTACCATCTTTTGCTTAAACACACTATTTTCTCACCAGGATGGAAGCTAAGATGGAACCAGTCCAGCAAGTTGATAGGAAAAACCAGCAGTGTCCAACTAATAAGCGAACACTTGCAAGAGTCACTTTGTGTGAGATGGGCAGCTATATAAATATGATTGATTGATTGACTGACTGACTGACTGATTAATAAATAAATAAATAAATAAATAAATAAATAAATAAATAAATAAGAAACCAAAATGTCCACCATCCCTGTAGCAGGGTAGAAACTAATTTAGGATTAACTAGCATTGACTCCTGGCACTGACATTTCAAAAGTGAGGAATCCCTACTCACTCCTCAAGAGATAAATCTGTTGCAACTCTTGTTTTAGTGTTACTTTTGTATTATCATCTCAGTTTAGAAGTGAAAGTATTTCTCCCTTCAGGAACTCACATATGGTTTTCAAGTTCTCCATATTTATTTTTCATTGCCTGGTTTCACCACTAGCTTTCCTTTCCCTTAGCCGTAAAGGGCTGTGGTTGGAAAACAGAGGTTTTCTTGTATTTTTCTTATTCCTTTTTTAAAAATAACTTTATTGAAGACTTTTTTCAAAAGTATTAAAAACATTATAAATTTTGAATTAAAGAAGAATAAAGAAAAGCAATAAGAAAGTGAAAAAGAAATATAGAAAAAGAACTAGAAAAAAAGAAAAGATTCTAAAGAAGCCGTTTCTGATCTTCTTGACAGCGGTTATAGATACATTTAAATTTTATCCTCTCTCTCTAAGGTTACCGCATAATTTCCTCCTTTCCATAAGCTACCCTTTCTAATTTCAGACCCATAACGCACAAGTTCATTTTTCCTTTTTTCAGCAAAAAGTCTATAAGGGGTTTCCAGTCATTAATAAA